AAAACCACAGGTCAGTCAGAGGCCCAGAGGTCAGTCTGAAGACCACAGGTCAGTCTGAAGACCACAGGTCAGTCTGAAAACCACAGGTCAGTCAGAGGCCCAGAGGTCAGTCTGAAGACCACAAGTCAGTCTGAGGCTCAGACGTCAGTCTGAAGACCACAGGTCAGTCTGAAGACCACAAGTCAGTCTGAGGCTCAGAAGTCAGTCTGAAGACCACAGGTCAGTCTGAAGACCACAGATCAGTCTGAGGCTCAGAAGTCAGTTTGAAAACCACAGGTCAGTCTGAAGACCACAAGTCAGTCTGAGACCCACAGGTCAGTCTGAAGACCACAGGAGGTCAGTCTGAAGACCACAGGTCAGGCTGAAGACTGCAGTAGGTCAGTCTGAAGACCACAGGTCAGTCTGAGGCCCACAGGAGGTCAGTCTGAAGTCCACAGGTCAGTCTGATGACCACAGGTCATTCTGAGGCGTACAGGTCAGTCTGAAGACCACAGGTCATTCTGAAGACCACAGGTCAGTCTGAGGCTCAGAGGTCAGTCTGAAGACCACGGGTCAGTCTGAAGACCACAGGCCAGGCTGAAGACCACAGAAGGTCAGGCTGAATACCACAGGTCAGGCTGAAGACCACAGGTCAGTCTGAAGACCACAAGTCAGTCTTTGGCCCACAGGTCAGTCTGAGGCGTACAGGTCATTCTGAGGCGTACAGGTCAGTCTGAAGACCACAGGTCAGTCTGAGGCGTACAGGTCATTCTGAGGCGTACAGGTCAGTCTGAAGACCACAGGTCAGTCTGAAGACCACAGGTCAGTCTGAGGCCCACAGATCAGGCGGGTGATTCCTTCAAAGAATGATGTCCCTTTAAAAGTTGTGTAATAATTCAAATTTCACGAACAGCTGTTTAAAATTTCATGTTTCTGCTTTTCCTGGATTATGTTTTAAGCTGGTGCTTCTAACATCAGTAAAAATGAGCTAGCTGCTCATATTGAGAACCTTTGAGCTATAAGGTGACGTGTTTATGAAGGGGGTATATAATTAATTTCTTGTTTCCTGTTTTCTTTGAGGTCATCAAACCTCTGGGATTTTCAGGGTCGGACAAAGTCTTCTCCTCAAAGACCCACCTGCAGTATCGCATGTACAAAACGGTAAGGTGACACACTAACTGCTCGGTGATGTGTGTTCTTAGCGCTGTCTAAAAAATATGCTCACATATTTCTTTTTGCCTTTCTGAAAGCTGACTCATTATACAACATGAAGCAAATCTAGAATAGATGAACATGGTGATAAAAGTTATAAAATGGGGTTTAAATGGAGCCTTCTCATCATTTTTAGCCAATCTTCCTGAACGAGGTATTGGTGAAGCTGCCGACAGACCCCTCAGGAGACGAACCTCTGTTCCACATCTCCCACATCGACCGGGTTTACACCCTCAGAGCTGAAAGCATCAATGAAAGGTGACATGAGACCCAGTCTCCACATGTCCAAACCCCCAGTCCCAAACACAGCTGCTGCTGAGTCAGTGTTACTGCTATTGTTTTATGCAAACTACGTCTGCATACCTTGTTTCTATTTTAGTCGTGTAGATATGAAAATGTTCAGCTCATACAGGAGATCAGTGCTGTTTTTGTTTTTTGTGGTGGTGGTGGGGGGGGGGGGTTTGTAACTTTTATACTTTTTAAAATATTTTACTTTGTTTTCAAATGTTTTCCCTAAAGAGCTACATAAAGATTTCTTCATAATATTCTTCTCTTTGAAATCTGCTTCAGCTGTTGGCACACTTCTCGACTTTTTAGGCTACTTTTAGCTATCCTTTTGCTACTTTAAGCTTATAAACTTTTTGCTGCTTTTAGCATCTAGCTAATCTTTTGCTGTTTTTGCTTCTAATTGGCTTTTTGATAATTTTAGCATCTAGCTAATCTTTTGCAGCGTTTTGCTTCTAATTGGCTTTTTTCTACTTTTAGCATTTAGCTAGCTTTTGCTGTTTTTTTTACTTATAAAAGGCCTTTTGCTACTTTTAGCATCTGGCTAACCTTTTGCTGTTTTTGTTTCTAAAAGGCCTTTTTGCTACTTTTAGCATCTAGCTAACCTTTTTGCTGTTTTTATTTTTTTTGCTTTTAATTGCCTTTTTTCTACTTTTAGCATTGAGCTAACATTTAGCTGTTTTTTGCTTCTAATTGGCCTTTTGCTACTTTTAGCATCTAGCTAAACTTTTGCTGTTTTTTCTTCTAATTGGCCTTTTGCATTATCTTTTACCTGCTTCTTCCATTTTGGGTCATGGGGTGTCGCCAGTGCCCATGTCCAGCAATCACTGTGCGAGGGGCGGGGTACACCCTGGACAGGTCTCCAGTCCATCACAGGGCCACATAGAGACAAACAACCATTCACTCTCTCACTCACACCTAGGGACAATTTGAATTACCAATCAGCCTAACATGCATGTTTTTGGTCTGAGGGAGGAAACCGGCACACCCGGAGAAAACCCACACATGCACGTAGAGAACATGCAAACTCCACCCAGAAAGGCCCCTGGACCGGGATTTGAACCAAGGACCTGCTCGCTGAGAGGCAGCAGCTCTACCAGTTGCGCCACCGTGCTGCCCCGTAGCTAAGCTTTTGCTGGGGTTTTTTTGCTTCTAAATGGCCTTTTGCTACTTTTAGCATCAGCTAGCGTTTTGCTGTTTTTTGCTTCTAAGTGTCCTTTTTTTGACTTTTAGCATCTAGCTAACCTTTTGTTTTTTGCTTCTTATTGGCCTTTCGCTACTTTTAGCATCCAGCTAACATTTTTGCTTTTTTTTTTTTGCTTCCAAATGACCTTTTGCTACTTTTAATTTGCTTCTAGAACTTTTGGACAATCATATGATCATGATTAAAATAAAACATTTGACAATAAAAGTTGTACAAGTTGTAGCTGTTTGTTTGCAAATAAGAAGAAATAACTTTTATTGTCATTGTACCATGTGTAATGAAATTATGTTTGGTCTCTCTCCATGTCGACATGTATAAATAAATGAGTTAAAAGAGAGACATAGTATTTACAAGAGTACTAAGACTACAAGTATAAGAGTATATAAGGATGACTGTCAACTACCATTTCACATTTAGCTCAGTATCAGCAGGAGTGGCTGAGTTAGAGCCATGTTTGCTTTTGTTAAGGTCAATTAGATGTAGCAGCCATCTTGAATAGGGGCAACATTCAACTTTAATCAGTTGTCAAATGTCGATGCACATCTAATTACACATTTCTGAGTGTTTTAATATAGGCTGTCTACCAGTTAATCAGATGTTTTGCTAACAGATATACAAATGAAAACACACAGATAGGCATTTACAGGATTACCCGCCTTTCACGGTGTCGGGAATAAAAGTCAGTCTGACAGAAAGGTTAAACTACACAGAAAGATGAAGGAGAAATTCTCTGTGAATGTTCTTTAAAAATAAACTACTAATGTAAATTACTATAAATAACAAACTAAACATTTTCCATTTTTAACCTGGTTTGAAACACCTGTAGTAGACGTTGTTCTCGTGGTCCTGCAGGACGGCGTGGGTTCAGAAAATCAAGGCAGCTTCAGAGCTCTTCATTGAGACGGAGAAGAAGAAGAGGGAGAAGGCGTATTTAGGTGAGCGTCCGTCAGGTCAGCAGCTCAGGCTGCCGTCAGGATTCTGATGTTTCTCCGTGTTTCTGCATCTCAGTGCGGTCTCAGAGGGCAACGGGAATCGGCAGACTGATGGTCAACATTGTGGAGGGGATCGAGCTCAAACCCTGTCGCTCCCACGGTAGGAGAAACCTCCTCTGGTTTAAACTGGATTTATTGTGTTTTAGTTTTATCTGGTTTTGAGGGATTTGAATAAATTAAACAAGAATAAACAGCATCGTTCTTGTCTATGTCTCCAGGAAAAAGTAACCCATACTGTGAAGTAAACATGGGTTCTCAGTGCCATATCACTAAAACCGTACAGGTAGGACTGCTGTCCTCTTTATACGGTCTTCTCTACAATTTCTATGGTCAAAATACTTTTTTAACTTTGTTCTGTTTTACCATCCATGCATCAAAGTGTTTGACTCCATTCAGTGTGCAATGACTTTGGGTTTTGAGGCAAAATACAGGTGCTGGTCATAAAGTTAGAATATCGTGAAAAAGTTGATTTATTTCAGTAATTCCATTCAAAAAGTGAAACTTGTGTATTATATTCATTCATTACACACAGACTGGTATATTTCAAAAGTTTATTTCTTTTAATGTTATGATTATAACTGACAACTAATGAAAACCCCAAATTCAGTATCTCAGAAAATTAGAATGGAAACAGCTACAAGCTATCTCTCACCTCTCAGTCACATCCTGCCGTGCGGTCGTTGTTTGTCTCAGATCATGCAGTTTGTTGTTCTTGTCTTGCAGGACACGTTGAATCCCAAGTGGAATTCCAACTGTCAGTTTTTTATTAAGGACCTCGAACAGGACGTCCTCTGTATCACTGTGTTTGAACGAGACCAGTTCTCGCCCGACGGTCTGTACCGCTTCATTTAAATCCATCCTGTGTCTTATCGTCTGTCCAGCTCGGGGTTTAAACGTCCTCCCGCTCGTCTTCTGTCTTCCACTTGTCTCTGCAGACTTCCTTGGTAGAACTGAGATCCGGTTGGCTGAAATAAAAAAGGACCAGGGCTCTAAAGGACCAATCACAAAGAGGCTGCTGCTCCACGAGGTTCCCACGGGGGAGATTGTCGTCAGACTGGACCTCCAGCTGTTTGAGGAGCCGTGAAACATGGAAGAGGTCAGACCGGACTGGACTGGCCTGAAAAGGGACCTTTGAGCTGAACTGGACCTTGCAGCTGGACTGGACTGAATTGGACTGGAATCTTGATGTGGGCTGCAGGTTTTTAAAGTAGAATATATATATTATGTTGCTCAGAGACGGCTGGCTTTTAGGTATTTTTGGACTAAGTTTGGAAATCGTTCAAACATTTTTACTGAGAATGTTGAAGAGTGATGTACAGGTCGATCAATCACTGTTTATTTTACTGATGCATTTAATGACTGAAACATACGGGTTTTCAGACAACGATCCTACAGAAAAAAACACTTCTTTTTTTCTCACATCTGATGTAAAAAGTATTGAATTCATCAGATGTTTGCTTCTCTGAACTAAACCATCATCTGACGTTTAAATCTCCTGCTTTTAATAATTTAACCTTTTTTAGAGATGTTTTTTTTTTTTAATCAGCAAATCTGTACCACGATGGAAGATTTAAAAAAAATTATTTACTTTTTAATTGACGTTTAAAAATTTAACATGTCCATCCACTTCAGTTAGTCGTTCACTTAAATGTCCATTTTGTTGCGACAGCAGAGAAAAGGAGCACAACATAAACATTAACATAAAGGGAGTGAAATGTGATTATTGTTGTGGATGAGTTTAAAGAAGCTCCACTTCATCAAGACTGGTTTGGAGTCCAGTCCCGGTCCAGTCTGCTCGTGTCTCCTTTCAGTTCGGTTCAAAACTGAACATCAGACTGATTCTTGTCTTCTTCTTCGTCTTCATCCAGTCAGTCTTACAGACTCTCCAATGACAATCCCTCTTTTCCTCCATCGAAACAAACCCAGCTGCAGTTGTGTGAATGAGCGTGCACGTTTCGAGTTGGACAGGCGTATTAACGTTCGGTCTACGTTTCTGCTTCATTTCAGGCTGCGTCTTACACGTCTCAGTCCGCTACGTCAGGCTTTCTTCTCTAGGCTACAGAACCCCAGGGGACCTGGACAGTCTGAGTTTTGTATTGTTTTGACGTCCACTGAACACTTGCCACATTATCACAGGAAGTGGTAAATATGTACATGTGTTAACAGTTCTAATAAGCTATAGAACGGGTTCTAAAGTAATATATGACAAGTGTCCAGTGCAACATGCAGACTATGGTCATGATCATTTGTCCTTGACGCACACACCAGTTAAAATAATGCTGATCATAACGTGGCTGAAGTTTACAGTCAACGCAGTGAGCAGGTACGAGAGCTGAATTAAATCCAGGTACTGTGAAGAAGAATGTCTTAGCTTTGTTTTGAATGCTTTGGAGAAACAGTGGCTGTGTGTTTAGATGATTTCTGTCACACGTCTGCCCTCTGACGTGTTGAGCTGTCGCTGTGGACGTCTCTATGCAAGGAGGGAAAATCCAGAACAAATGGGTCCACTTTGGCCCGTTTTCACGTTTTACACCTGAGGAAGTTGAGTGACGAGATGACTTTACTGTGCATCGGCACTTGGTGAAGCAGCTGAAGTTATTTATTTGACACAAAGGCCATTTTGAGTAATAAGTTGGTAATGGAGCCTGGAAGATCGAACACATTTCAAATCAAGTCTGTTTCCTCCCATCGCCTGCATCTTTACTATACTCCATAAAATATGCAAATTTGTAGCAAAGAGTTTTGTGGTTTTTCATGTGATGGGTCTTGGTTCCAGCCTATCTTGAAAGGATCGGCTGTTTTTTACACATTCAGCTAACAGACTTAGCCTCTCTACATGGCTGCCTAAAGCTAAGATCAAAAGTCATTTCATAACGAGGATGTTATAGATGAAACTCAAAAATAAATTATTTATTTGTTAAGGTCTGGTTTGGATTCATCTAAATGTAGGTATGTCATCTGGATGCTTTCTTTTTTTTTGTTGAGACGTTTCGTCCTTCATCCAAATCCATCAGTCTGAGGAGCCACAAAAAAACTGAGTCCCACAAGCATCACACTCACATAGTGGACCAACCAGTTTGCTGGTGATAAGATGGTTTTTGGGGCACACCCTCTCTCCTGTTGACTCCTCTGAGGCAGCCATAGCTAAAGTGGTTCAAAACATCAAAGTTCAGGTAAAAAAAATCCAACAATGGAGAAAGGATGAAACATCTCAACAAAAGAAAGAAACCATCCAGCATGAACTTTGATGTTTTGAACCTCTGTAGCTATGACTGCCTCAGAGGAGTCGATGGGGGAGAGGGTGGGCCCCAAAAACCATCTTATCACCAGCAAACTGGTTGGTCCACTATGGGAGTGTGCTGCTTGTGGGACTGGGTTTGTTGTGGCTCCTTGGACTGATGAAGTCCTTTGGATGAAGGACGAAACATCTCAACAAAAGAAAGAAACCGTCCAGATGACCTGACTGAACTTTGTTGGATTTTTTACCTGGATTATTGAGCATGAACTTTGGTTTAAATGTAGGATGTAACAAAGTTCATAAGGGACAGAGACCAAGTAAACTTCATCATGCTTTTAGTACATCTGAGAGCCAGTGAAAAACACGAACTACTGATGTGACTTTAAATGTTGTCACTGAATTTACTGTCTAATTTGAACTGTTGGCATCAGAAAGGAAGTGCTGGTTTTTGTGCAATTTAAAAACAGTTTATAGTCGTCTGTTTTTGGCTGGCCTGCTCTGTTTCTGGGACCGTCTTGACTTTTTGTGTTGAACAAATGCCTGAGGCATCGCCAACACCAACACTGCGTTTAGCTATGACTACACTCAGTCCTCACATTATTATTATTATTATTAATTTATTTTTGTGGAACTGATTTATCTTGTTAAATTTTAACATGAGCTTAAAAGTTGTGGAAAATTTGTACAAAAATCAACTAGGCTGATGGCTCAAAACTCAAAGGATGAGTTGGGTATCGATTGTTTGCTAACACCTGATTAATGATTATTAGCTATTGTATCTAAAACTTAGTGAGTTAAAAGTCTTATCAGTTAAAATCAAAATCAGTTAGTAAGCTAAATATTTGGTTAGCTGGCAGGCTAAGTCTTGGTTAGCTATGAAGCTAAATACATATTGTTAAAAACTGGAAAGTAAAATCTTTCTAAAGACCTTATGTTCAATGTTATGTTTAAGTTGGGATGGTTTGTTATTTATGAGGAAATAATATGTTAATTCTGATGCCTTTAACTTAACATACCAACTCTTCACTGGAATATATTACCGTACAGAAAAGCCTTCATTTACTTCACTGTTAGACGTATTGTTGACTTGATTTTCCAGGTTTAAAACAAACTCAGGAGCTTCTTTGCAGGCAGAGCCATCTTCCTCACAGTTTATCCACCCGACTATTCAAAACTGCTGCTTGTGCAAGCCAATCAAATGAACAGCAAGACGTGTTTATTTAGCTAGCTACTTTTCTAGTTAGTGAATCTAGATAGCTCTTTTAATTTAATGCCACGGTTGCAGTAAAGTTTTTGAATTATCACTGATAAGAGGTTAAAACTTAGTGACCAGCCACTGTCCATTCAGCAGCTCATCTGTGTGGAGGAACGAATGTTTGTGTTTATTCAGATTGAAACGATGATCAGTGGCGTACATGTACCCCTCTACTCTTCTCTCCACACTGTTGTGGGAAAAAACAATCCAGTTTGAGCCCGTTCTTACTTTCTACCTTCCAGATTGTGTATAATACTGCTGTTATCTGAGAGTTAATATATGAACGCTGCTGGCGCAGAAACGAGTTTATCACTGTAGAAAATGATGTACGTTCTTGTCTTTCGATGTTGAGAATAAAACTCATTTGGACCAATGTTGGAGATGTTTGTATTTAAAGTTTTTTTTTTTTTGTTTGTTTGTTTTTTGTTGCAGTGACACATCTGTTGTAACAAAAACAAAAATCCTAACATACTGCTTTTTTAGACAAAACTTTTTTACATGTCAATTCAGATTCCCATAAAATCAAATGTATGATTTCTTCATGATCAAATGATCACTTTTATCTCTGAGTGTTTAATAGTGTCCAAGTCTGCTAACACCCAAGGACCCCACCTGGCAACTTGCATCAGTCAGTATAGATGTGGTTTCATAATGTTTTTTTGTCCCGTGCTGTGAAGAGGAGGAATTAGAAATACTTTCCGTCTGTTGTGAGCATGATAACTTGAGGTACTGGCTTCTATTTTGGTGTGTGACTACAACTAAATGTAAGAAAGGTCCCTTTTAATAATTTGGTTGCCTAGTCTAAATACAAGATGGCTGGAACCATACATCAGTATATGTTAACCTTGTGAGCTGGATAATTTGAAAAATAAGAGGTATCACCTCCCACTGTAATGTGTGGTTGCATCTAGGTGTAAGAGTCACTTTCAAAAGTTGGGTTGCCACGTCAAAATCCAAGATGGCCACCGCCTTATATACAGGTGCTGGTCATAAAATTAGAATATCGTGAAAAAGTTTATTTATTTCAGTAATTTCATTCAAAAAGTGAAACTTGTATATTATATTCATTCATTACACACATACTGATATATTTCAAATGTTTATTTTGTTTCATGTTGATGATTATAACTGACAACTAATGAAAACTCCAAATTCAGTATCTCAGAAAATTAGAATATTACAAGACCAATAAAAAATGATTTTTAGAAATGTTGGCCAACTGAAAAGTATGAGCATGTGCAGCACTCAATACTTAGTTGTTGCTCCTTTTGCCTGGATTACTGCAGCAGTGCGGTGTGGCATGGAGTCGATCAGTCTGTGGCACTGCTCAGGTGTTACGAGAGTCCGGGTTGCTCTGATAGTGACCTTCAGTCTTCTGAATTGTTGGGTCTGACATATCTCATCTTCCTCTTCACAATATGATATATATATATATATATATATATATATATATA